TTAGAACAATTTCAGATGGAAAGGATCTGATGCAGCTGGACAGTGGRTTTAACCAGATCCCTGCATCTAGGACTAGTGAAAAAAAAATATTTAAAATAGTTGCAACAAGAACCATTGTTACCTTTCATATCCCTCTACAATTAAATAAATGTCATGTAATCTTTTTCTTTTGAAACCACTGTTTTGGTAGTTAAATGTACTTACTATAGCTCTCATGTGAGCCGAGAAGGATGGACTAAGAACAGTAAATTTATCCAGACTAGTTTAAGTAGACCAGGACGCCAGGGCAGCCTTGCTTTGCATTTCAGCACCAGGGAAATCCCTGCCTGCTTACATTTATGCCAATAACAATTAAATCATTTCTAGAGCCCTGCATATGATCAGTACTTACGACTGTGATGTCTTGCCCTTAGGATAAACCAGGATCACACTCCAGCCTTCCCTTAGRGGAAAAGACAGGGATGTAAGGCAGCTTGGCGCTTTTGTGCAGGCCTGCTCCATCAGCAGTGAAATGTGGGCAGTCTCCATCCTTTTTTTTCTTAACATGGACTGCTGGATTGCCAGGCTATGTCCTGGTAACAGTTTGTTGCTTGAAGGGAAGGTAATTCCCTTTCTTCCTACAGCAATATTGAGAGTTTGGGCATGAGCAGACTTCCTCTTTCTGGGAAGGAAAAGGAAGGGAAAGCAGCTGCTCCTGCTTCCTGGGAGACAACTGTGCTGGACCATGGCAGGCAGTTGCCAGGCTATTCAGCACTGAGGCTTATGAAGAGGCGTGAAGGAAGATAAGAAAGTGATTTACATCATGTGGAAGGCGCTGCTAATATAAGCAGAGCATAGGAGGAAACACAAATGTGCTTGAAGTAAAACTAGCTTCAATGATAATGCAGATATTACAGGGGAAGTATGGCAATGAACATTAATTTTTCTTTGCAGTACCTTGAGGTATGACTACAGTAGGGGCGAGATAGAGGTAGATGGCACAGGCAACCCTCATGCACTGTCATTAACATACAAACCCAATATCTATAATAAGTTTGTATAATTAAAAAAAAAAAAAGTTTGTATAATAAAACATAAATAAAACATTTCCAAGGTTTTGTTGTGCTATATCAGTTATTTAAGACAACTTATAGATACATGTTCTGCTACCACGTATTTGCAGTGTGTGGTTTATAGACTAGGAAAGGTTAAGTTTCTCTGAAGTGATCTCTGAGGAAGAGCAGGGGAAGAGCAAACAGAAGTGGGAGAGTATCTCCAGTSAGCTGATCGAACTTCAGCCTTTTCAATTAATTTGGGGGAGAGAGGGGAATAGGGAAAAAATCCCTGTGAACAGAAATGAAACACTACAGAAAGAAAAATGCAGAATGACCACTAGAAGGTAGAGCTGATGCTAAAGTATTGATGGGTCCAGGGCTATGAGTCCAGGACTCTGCATCTAGTGCCGAGTCAGCAGTGAGGAGAGATGAGGCTCCAGGATCAGATATAAAGTTCTAAAGGAGCTCAAAACTGTGCAATTTTCTCTCTTTACATAATTGCATTCTGCAATGATGGAATATCCCTACCTGGCAGCAGAGATTTTTCACATAAAGCAAGCAGGGAACAAGCAAATAGAGAAAGCCAATTTCCTGTTTTCAAGACAGACTTCCTACACAGCAGACATGGGCAGTACATTTTTTTTGGTGGCTAAAAAAAGCATTGCCCCTAAGATGTCTGTAGATATATGAATGGATATGAGAAACCATCCTCTTATTTTAATTGGCATACCCCACTCTCTTTCTCTTGTCTCTGCCTGATTTAGTGTTAATAATTTCTTCCATTTTCTCTTATTCCCTCTTGTTGACACAGTAGTGATCTCTGAAAGAGTTATTTTACTGTGTTATATCCTTAAGAGGTTTGATAGTATCTCTGGCAGAAAAATGGAGAAATAGAAGTATGAGGTATTAACATTTCTCAAAGCCATTTCTTTTCTCCAGAATATTTTCAGGATTGGGGAATGACTGAAAGGTTTACACTAGGGTGGATTAGAAATGGRCTTCACGAGATTTTCAAATGATGATGCAAACAAGACTTCACAAGCTGAAAAGGCGATAATGCCCAGAGGGGAGAAGGGTGGGTAGGACTATTTATTCACACTAGCACCCTAAAAAGAAAAGTAAATACATAACTTTACAGTCATGGGAGAAAGGGGGATAAGGCAGGGGAAGAAAATAAAGCAAAACTCTGGATAATACAGCAATGCATTGAGATAATAAAACCCCGTCTTTAAAAAATATACTTGTATAAAAATGAAGCATACTGAGAACATGGCTATACATCACAACATTACACCAATCAAACCAAAACACCCCTGTAATACCATTCTCATCCTTAGCTTAAGACAAAAATGAGATAAAATGCATAAAGCTAACCGTTGCAGCTCAGCTAATCCACACATTTTTACTCATATAAGAAATACATGTCAATTCAGCAAGCCACAAGTCTTTTCCTGCTTAATGCAATAAGGAAAATTTCACTTGTATATTTTATACAAGTACAGCTAATTGAAAAACTTGCTTGAATGGTTTGAATGTTTTTGTTTTTTTTTAATGGGGCTTCATAATAATGAAAATTGCTCATAGCAAATTCAAAACATTTACTGCAAGACTTCAACTCCTTTCTATAAATATTTTGAGTTGTATAAATCATGTTAAGATATTTTATAACTTTCTTGTGACATCACAAAATTGTATTTACTGTTTGTAAAATTCTGGACTAAGTTGTTATTTGCACTGACTACGTATAGTTTATGGTTTTTTTTAAATTAAAACTTTCGATTATTATATTTTAACTACTTTTAAATTCTTTTTTTTAATTTAATAATAATTTTGGCTTTTTATCATATTATTCCAGAATAGAGATATTTTGTTGTTTATAATGGTATTTTTATTTAAGGGTATACCTAGCTATTAGAAAACATGTTCATCAAAAAGTTTTCAAGCTAGGGTATACAAGTAAGCATTGTCATTTTCTACTGGTAAAGATTTTTATGCATCTCACTTTCTTTCACATGAAAGTTATTCCATGTTTAAGAAAGCAACACATGTTTATGAATGCAACACATATTTATACCCATGTTTACTGCAGTTTAGTTATTTTAGTTAATGAATGTCTCACAGGAAAAATCATAAAATGGATTCAAAGGGAAGGAGGAAGTAAAAACCTCTACATTTCAGTAGTATTTAGGCACTTAAATACATAGCAGCTTTAAAATTCAAGGCTTCAGCATTTGGTCAATATAAATTCCTCCAAGATAAATATCCATGTTATGATTTCACTTTACGTATTTATAAATATATATGCGTGTGTGTGTGCATACATACATTTTTTTTTTTCAGTAAGCCTTTCATTCTCCCTTATTTGATTTTATAAGAAAAGCACTCCAGAGTGACGATGACAAAAATATTATTATATTGTGCTTAAAAACTGATCTTAAAAATAAGGCTAGTAAGAAAGAATCTGAACTTGGAAACAAACTGATTTAGAAATTACCTATTTGCACATGCTGAAAATCCATGGAATTGAGATGAAGAATTCTCAGTAACTGCAGAGAAGACAGGGCTGGGTTTCACAGCTAATAAGTGATAATAAAAGAATTATTCAAGCTAAAAAATAGATTGCATAAAATATATTACAAATATGGTTACTGAACCAGAATTACTCCTAAATTATATCTGTAGATATTGGTATTGTTTTGTAGAAAGAAATTTGGTGTAATTATATAAATTTTGTATCATATATTTAAAGAGCAGATATAAATGACCATACTGTTGCTGTCCACCTTTCAGATTTTCTCTTTTTTTTTTTTTTTTTTTTTTTTTTTCAGTCTATTCTGTAGGCGTTTTTGTGTTTTTAGGGCTTAATAAGTTAGAGAGCTTAGCGAAAGTAGATGATATAGTATAGCACAGGGCATAGAGCTTAGGGCATGGCGCTCGGAAGATCTCGCGATGTCACGGGAGTTAGGAGTGTAATTAATTTATGCAGTTTACTGATAACCCCATGCCATACAAGTCGAAAAGTAGAAATTAGTGTCTCGATTGGGCAGTAGGTGAKTTTCCGCATTCAGCTGGAGTATATAGGCAGACTGAACTGCGCAATAATCGCCATTTTGCCGCATCCCCCATAGYGATAACTGTGCTCCAGGGCCCTGGGGTGAGGACAACCCCRGGTCAGTCCAGSTAACGAACAAGGCTTGCCGACCCCCGTCGGCAACACTATTCATAATTTAGGAACATCCATSSAATATTATTACCTTTTTAATAATAGAAATAATGCAGAAAAAAACATGTATTAAAAAACCATGAATGACAGAATTTTTTGAAGATGGATTTGAGGTTTGTTTTGAGACAGAATTTAGAAGATAACACTCTAAATGGCACTCAGACTAGGATTTTAGGCACGGTTATTGAAGTCTTAAATAGATTTTTTTTTAACTTTAGGTAATCATGTGATACTACAGCTTACAGTATTTTCTTCATAAACTAACTCCTAAGGTTTGATTGAAGTGTTGGTTACTAATACATATAGCCGGAATTGTGACCAGTACTTTATAYTGCAAGGGAGAGACCATTGTATATCTGTATCTCTAAGCTTGGAGTTTAGACATAAACTTTTTGTACCTGATAAGAATCTAATTTCATGCTATACTGCAATAAAGCTCCCAAATACAACTGTAAAAATAAATTAGTTAAGGGTGCAGAATTAACATGAAGGTTATCATGTATCTTTTAAAATCAATTTTATTGAAATTAGGTGAATCATCCGTATGTATTATAAATTCATTTAAATCTTAAGACATTTATGTAATTTGTTAGTAAGTGAGGGATGGAAGAACTGATTCTCAGGAATCTGAGGTATCTGGGTTTTAAACTCTTAAAATCTAATCTTTGAGTTTTGAATTGTGAATGTCTTGTATCTTTAATGAAAGAAAACATTGCCATTAAACTCAAGGTAAGAAATTATTATACATTGTTTTATGTATCTTTATATAAAAAGTTACAAGTAGCAAGCATATGACACAGAAATGGAACAGTAACAGCAATAATTGTGAATGCATGCTTTTTACAATGTGTCTAACCGAGGGATTTTTGCCAACTCAAATATTCAGTAACATACATGCAGATTATTTTCTCAAGGTCAAGTTCAGTCATATTGCTAGATGCTTGTCCAACAAACATTTCCATTGAAGTGATTATGGATGGTTAAATACCTGATTTCAATAAATTTTTCCTGAAATTGGGAATTTTACTTGCAACCGAAAGAAGGAAGAGAGAGGAAGAAAAATAATAGTAATAATTAAAAAAAAAAATAAAAAGAGAGAAAGAGAAATGACCAATAAGCATAATAACCAAAGTCTTATTGCCTTCTAGTAATTTTACTCAACACTGCTGAATTTTGTCATGATATGAGAATAGCTGGTCAGAGAGTCCATAAAACCTCTAGCTGGTGTTTCCAAGGTCGATAGTTTCACCTTTCACTGTAGCATGTTCAAAATCACCCAGGAGCGCACTATTCTCAAGTAGTCTATATAATGGAAACAATGTACATATAACAAAAGTTCAATGTAAAACTTCTTTCACATATGACAAAACATACATGTAGATAACAAAGACATAAAACACATCAACTGAAATGAAATGAAGATAACAACATCAACCACAACAACGAAAAGCTGGGACAGTCTCAGTCAGGAACTAATTTCTTCTTCAAGTTTCCAGCAAATTTCAAAATATATTTAAAAACTAAGGAGCACTTAGTGGCCAGCAACCAAATTACAAAAGAAATATATTATTGTGCAATGGGAATATCTTGTTGAGGAAGTAAAAAATGTCTGTAATTCTTAGGTTTGGATAAAGGCAGTGGAATGAATTTAGAAACATGTCCACACTCTCTTTCAAACAGCTGAAATAGTTCACTATAGCTTTTTTTTTTTCCATTCACAGTTCCCATGATTGTATAAATAGTTCTTCTCTGAAAGCAAAAAAAAATTAAAATGTTTTTTCCTATAGAGAAAAATATAGACAGATATTAATCTAAACTACTTAGAAAAAACAAAAGCATCTACATATTTTCTCCCAGTAAAATTGATTTAAACATATATACACTTATAAATGTTATGTACACATCTAAACATGTATGTATACACATCTATGTTGAACTACAGGTAGAAATAACTTGTCAGACTCGGCTATCTATAACTCCATTATAAAAATATGGAGATTATATTTATTTGGATTAAATTTTGTTGATTATTCTGCACAAGTTATGCAAAAMCAAAAACACTAGGAAAAAATCAATGAAAATGAAGTGTAATTTGAAAATAGCAACATAAGTACTACGGAGTCTAAGTTAACAGTACTCCCACGCACCCTTCCCCAGCACTTTATAATACTGAATAAGTAAAATGAACTGAGAACAGACAGTTGTGAATCTTTAAAACTTGGGTTAAATTTCCAAGTTTTATATATATTTTCACATGCCAGGGCTCTAAATTTTATTCCCATAAATAAAAAACAAATGAAACATCACAGCCATGCAAAGCATCTGTCTTTATAACGTGTTTAGAATGCAGATTACATTCAGCTATGGGATGATCACTGTCAGGGAAAAAAAAAAAAAAAAAAAAGAAGCATTTTGCTTAGTTTCTAATGTTAAAGTTATTATCTTTAATCAAATCCACTTCTCCCCATGCAAAGACTTATACAGGGTAGCATATAACTTGAGAACTAACAGACATTTAAACAATATAACAGGTAATATGGAATGCAACAGATGGTTCATTCATTGTTTAAGTATCGTTACTTACCTCAGGTTTGTCTCTTAGACCCTAGTTGTGTTGTATTCAGACTCATGTTTGCTTAGAGACCCAATGAGGCAGAACCTGGAATGTTATGGCTATTTCATTCAAAATAATAATGTTTGCATAGAAAAAAAGAAATTTATGCACACAGATACTATATAAATAGTACACCTTGATCAATATTCATGATGTAATTCACACTGGCATGCAATTGGCTTAAAATTATCAAATGACTACTTTTTTAAAGAGACAGTAATGCCTTAATGTGCAAACAAAATATGGAGGTCATGTAAACAGTCACAAGAAGTGCATAAATAATGCATGCAAGAGAAAACACAAATATATATAAAAAGAAATCTGARTAGTCTTTTTCAAGTAAATGGTTCATATTTGTTTCTGGTTTTCTTTTTCTTTTACTTGCAAACTTTTAATCATTCTTATTTACAGGCATTTAAAGTGCAATACACAGTAGAAATAGCTCTTGCATTAAAAATATCATGGCAGTCTACTTTTTCACTGATTAGAAACATTCTTTTTAACTGCATTCATGTATGTAAATGTATGAGTATTCTCTATGCACTACAAATTCTCATAGTTTGTGATACATATATATATTTTTTTATATATATGCATGTTAATATGACAAGCTGAGATATTGTGTTAATAAAAGAACAATACAGTAAAGTTTTGCAAATATTGCCATTCATTATATTGAAAATAGTGCTTTATAGGAAAAGGGGTTTGCTTATTTGAGAATAAAATTTCTCATTCTTGTGGCATGCATCAAAACAGACAAATGCATTTTTTATTGATGTATTGACCTGGATATGTCAGATCAATAGTGGATGTTCTCCAATAGTTCTCAAGGCCACCTTTCAGTTACAATGAAACCATGTGCATACAGCTCTTTCAAAAACTAGATTTGTACAAAATCTTTGTTTTTTAACATTTTTACCTGCTCTCTGTTGACCTGTGTGTGTGCACATGCAGGGGTATGTGTAAAGATTAGTAAAAGAAAAAGAAAGGTATAAAGTAGACAGGTAAAAGCTGAGATATAGAAGATTTTTAGGGAACTAGGGCAGAAATGGGAGAAAGAGATAAAGGAAGAGAGAAATAATATAACGGTATGTGCTATTAGGAAATAGAAACTTAAACCATAAACAAAGAAGGAAGAGAATATGTCTTTACTGAATAAAGAGTGAATATGTTTGAGCAATCAAGTCCTTACACATTAGTCTTCATCAAAAATCTATTGATACTGACCGCTGGACAGCTTTATCATGTCTCGACAGCCTGTGACTCGTGGTTGGTACCTCTTCAATTTCATCTATCTCACACGCATCTGCAGCATCTTGTGAGTAGCTATGCTTCATGACAAGGATATTTCTCCTGTTCATGGGCTGAATTAGGGGTTTTACAGGCTGGGGTTGTATTTCTGTCAAGACAGAAGCATCTCTTGTGCTGAGGTTACTACGGCTGCCCTTAGTGCTAGACAGTTGTGATCCACAGTGATGGTCATGAATGCATTTTGAAGATGATCTCCGCAGTTTATGATAATTTTCAAAGTCATCTGCAACATCAGCAAGGTCAGCAGTAGGCCCTGACCCTCTAAGGGTGCATAATTCATAATGTGGAGGCTCAAAAACCTCCTGGAATACTGTTTGATCAAAGTCTGTTTTCCTTTGGACAAATTTTTTACGAGGCTGCTTGATCTGTACTATGACAGAGACGACAATGAGGATGATCACAATGCAAGAGGTCACCCCAATTATAGTCCCACTGGTATTGGTAAGTTGGTCCAATAGATTAGCTTTTCTTTTTTCTGTGTGGCAGGAAAAYAAAAAAAAAAGCAGAGCATTAATTGCCAATTCAAGAATGAACACAACCGTGATGGGTTCACAGCTTACTGCAAATTCATGTCTAGGCTATGCTTGGGTTCACTTAATCAGTCTCACTGGGAAAAAATCAAGTAGTCAAGCAAAACCAATAAACAACACGTAATTGCCCTCGACTCTTCTCTTGGAAGAATTATTTGGTTTATTCAAGATGTACTATAAGCTTAATTAGATGAAAGGATTATTTAGGTTCTTTACAAAAAGCAATTGCCATAACAAACAGAAGACTTTAATGTCACCTCCCAACTCCATTTGTCTGCTAAAGCCCTCAAGACAGTTACACAAGTTTTCCTCTTTACTTTCTGCTTCTTCCTGTAAATATACACAGCTAGGAAATAAAATCAATGAAAAAGCAAGAGTTTACAGGATTTTAGAAGAAATTCTTCTTTGCATTGGTAACTCTTCTGAACTCCTAATATTAGCTGACCAGGGCCATTGGCAACATTCAATTAAAAAAAAAAAAAAAAAGAAYTAAATCAGGAGAAAACAGAAAAGTTGTTCTAACTGAGAATTCTCAAAGGAAAATAAATTGTGTGCAATTTGGATGAAGACATATTAATTTCTAGAACATTTCAAGACACCCATTGTTAAAATTTAAAAGTTGATCCTATGCCCTATTCTTTACTCAAGGACTAGTAGGAAGCTAGTCAACAAATTCATTTTCGAGAAAGAAGAAAAAAAAATGCAGTTAAATGCTACAAAGGGAATGCAKTTTCTGCATATTTCTCCAATATTTGCATTTAAATGGCTCCAGATACATTAGACAGTAATTCAGCCTTGTAGAAAACCAAGCTGAAAATATTGGCATCAGTCAAGACTGTGATTAAATTTYAACTTTCAGTTGAAAACATACCAAAAAAATTAATAAAAAGCCTTTGAAGAGAAATTTATTTGCACCAACAGAGTGACATCTGTCTCCCTGTAATCTGCTAGACACCAAAACTGTTTAAGTATTTTTGAGTATTCCCCTTTGACTCCACTGGTATATTATTTGGGGGTTTCTGTAACTGTCTGGCAAAGACTCTGGGGGAGTATCTGATTTAGAAAACCACAGAGCAAACAGCTTTTTTTTGTGGGAACCAGCAATTTAAGAAGARAAATTTAAGCACAGGACCCAGTAGGAAAGATACTTGGCAATGAAAGATGAAAATTAAAGAGAAATATTTTCCTCTTATAAAGGACGGAGATCAGATAATTCTTTCCCAAATGTATGCTTAACTTCTCAAGGAATATTATTCCATGATACAATTTTGTTTTGTTCCTTTGAAGTATGATTTAATTTATATTATACTCTATGACATTGCTTGTAAGGATCTTACAGGCTTCAGCAGACTTATGGACTGACTGCTAATCCACTTCATTCTGATCTTTTTCTTGATTGGTTCCTAAATTTGGCATACTCCATGTTTCCAGGAACAAATCTGCATTTGCAGGCAGAGGAAAA